TATTACGCATAATTTACATTCAATCAAAAAAATATATGTTTGTTTCGAATTCATTTTATCATTCTCCATTTAATCTATCTAAACTTGGCTGTGTCATATATGGTTCTTGATTTCTTTCAGTTCATGATTCTGTGAACAACGGCATTTTTTGACTATTTAAAATGTGAAATTGGGAAATAAATATTTCAACCGACATTGTGTAAGATCCTAAATGGAAATTGAAAATATTCCATTTCCGATAATTTCGAATTAGGTTTTATAATATGTTTGAGATGCATTTCTTTATAATTGGGGTTTATACATAATTGGGTTATTGGCTGTTATAGTTTCAATGGAGTTCCAGCAGAGGAGCGTTTGCATTGGCGGTCCTTTTTAGTGAAGCTAGGTGCTGATAATCTTAAAGGTGTCAAGAATGAGGAGCTCCTTGTTGCATGCCACAAGTATGTTGTGCTTCTCCTCAATTTGTCCCAGCAGTTTCTACACTGCTGCTGGAATTTATGGTGATTTAAGTGGACTTACTTCCGCGTTTGGGTGTCTTTACGTATGTTACATCCAGTATCGACATGGCAGAAATACATTGGAACGTGGTAATTATGAGCCAATTGACTTGACATAACTAAAGTTGATATTCATCAAATGGAATAGCTGAAAAGGAAGTTGTATGACATATAAGAAATTCTATGTTGTGCTAGATTCTAGGTAAATGGTTCATACATACGTGTGTATGAACATGTTGAGTTAGATTTTGTAAAAAAGCACTTAGTTACTTATATTTATGACATTACCTTATCTTAGGGAAGAAAGGATTTTGTAGCAAGGGAGAAGGAAAAACACCTCAATCTTGTTTGCATCAATTTTCACGGATCTTTTGTGTAGAAAACTGTGTCATTTCCAAACAGGATTCACCCACAATTTTCTTGGTGTTTGAGGGGGAATATTTGAGGCAATAATGAATTCTTGATATAGATGTTTACAAATCACAATCAGTCAACAGGAAGTCTGATTGCAAAATAGGATGTGTACAGGCCTCTGGGTTGTACCTCCTATTCTTTTGCTCAATTCGGGGATGGGAAAATCTTATGTTTGAAACTTAAAACTTTGATAGTGTGGCATTCTCGTGATGCCATTTTTGTTTGTTTTATGACTGACCATGCATCTAGACCGAAAGCTTCTGAGGCTATTTCAAGGTCCATATGGTCTAATAGGAAGAAGTAACATTTTCCTCTCAAATCTTTGATCTTTGGTAAACGTGAACAGTTTTTTTGATATTACTAGCAAATATCTTGTTGGCATTTGGACATTCGTGGTAATCTGAACTAGAGTTGTATTTTTCCCTGCTTTCAAAAGGACAACCGTAGTATGACAGCTATAAATTCCTAATGGGATTTACACTCAATTTTCCTGGTGTTTGTGGGTGAATATTTGAGGCAATAATGAATTCTTGATATAGATTTCTACAATCAGTAACACGAAGTTCGAATGCAAAACAAGACGTTTACAGACCTCTGAGTTGAACCTCCTATTCTTTTCCTTGATTTGGGGAAGGAATTCTTATGTTTGAAACTTAAAACGATGGTAGTGGGTTTAAGACAGAACACTGCAATATCTTTTGAGACATTAATTATTGGTTTTTTATGGCTGATCATGTATCTAGAATGAGGGCTTCTGAGGCTGTGTCAAGGTCCATATGGTTCGATAGTAATTTACATTTGATGATTTGTTTGTATCTCATTTATTTTAGTTTCTCCATTACAACTCTGAAACGTCAATTCCATTAACACGAGGGCATGAAATTGTCTTATGTTGTTTCTTAACAAGAAGAACTTGCTAATCAATCTGATTTGATATAGAGTTGACTTATTCGCCTTTATGGTATTGTAAATTTTGTAACATTGGAGGTCTAAAAATTTTGAAATATGAGCCTCAGATAGTGCATGGAGAAAGAATTGACTGTCATTCATTGTTTCTGCTTATATATATGATGATGCTCACACGGTTAATTTTAAGAAAATAACTATTGAAATCTTTATTCTTTTCAACTTTTTTCAATTCTAAGTTGTAGTTGTGGTTTAAATTTTGTTCTTTTGCAGATCAGTTTATATCACGTACACAGTTTTTGGGGATGTCAGTATATTTGTTGTTGGCAAGGATGAGTATGATGAACTAGCCTGTAAGTATGTCATCTTAAATACTTTTATGTCATAATTTAATATTTTTTTCACTAGTTTTTAAGACTACCTCCATTGATGTTTTGAATTAATCTGTTTCTTTTGTTTCATGCAAGTGGCCGAAGCTCTCTTTATTATAACCTCAGCCTTGAAGGATGTATGTGGAAAACCTCCAACTGAGCGACTATTCCTTGACAAATACGGAAAGATTTGCTTGTGCCTGGATGAAATTGTGTGGAGGTGAGTAATTTTCTTCTTTTAGACCGAGGCTTGATTATATTTAAAGGGCCTGTTTGAAAGGCTTGTGAAAAGTAAAAATTACTTCTGAAACTAAGAAACTTCTTTTGGGCTTATTTGGATAATTTTTTAGAAGTTCTTCCTCTAGATAGAAGAGTATTTTCAAAGGAAATTGGTCCACTATGACTTTATTACGAAACTCTTTTATAAAAAGTAGAAGTCCTACCAAATAGGCCCTAACTTCCTTGATCAAGTACTCGAGTGCAAGTTTTTCATTATCGA